AATACACCGCGGCACGCCATATGAGTCTTCCTGGTAACTGTACTTCCAACCAGTGCAATTAGCTTCGTGCTTGCTTCATAATTCGTAAGATCCAAGTTCGCTCACGGAGGTGAGTAATAATTTTTTTTTTTTAATAAGTGTTTTTATTTATTTTTATTTATTTTTGATGATATTGATATAGTATGCAAATTTTTGAAATAGAAAATTTAATTTAATATCACATTCTAAACATTAATTTAAATTTAATTTTAAGGGAATTTTAATTCAAGTAATAATATTTGAAATAATAAATAAATAATAATAATATATAAGTTATTTGTAATGGATAACATATAAAGGCAACGTATCTAAATTTTCAAATTGTTTAAATTTAAAATATATATTATTATTATTATTTATTTATTATTTCAAATATTATTACTTGAATTAAAATTCCCTTAAAATTAAATTTAAATTAATGTTTAGAATGTGATATTAAATTAAATTTTTTATTTCAAAAATTTGCATACTATATCAATATCATCAAAAATAAATAAAAATAAATAAAAACACTTATTAAAAAAAAAAAATTATTACTCACCTCCGTGAGCGAACTTGGATCTTACGAATTATGAAGCAAGCACGAAGCTAATTGCACTGGTTGGAAGTACAGTTACCAGGAAGACTCATATGGCGTGCCGCGGTGTATTTGGGATATGGCCAATTTTCACAAATTTATTACTCCGAAACTAAGGCCTATTCAATCAAACGCCGGGACACGTATCTTTTTTTTCATTTCCAGAATAATTAAAAAAACCGGGGTCGAAATCCCGGTGTGAGTCACCTGGTCCTCCCCTTGTCAGACAAAAGTTATATGGTTCGATAGAGGACATAAAAAGGTACCATTGGTTTGACCTTGCGTGGCGTCGCCACGTCAAGTCGAGGTCAACTTTGTTTTTTTAAATAGAAATATATATCTTTTATTACGGAATTTTATTTTACATAAAGAAATAAACAACTTTTGTTTGAAAACATTTTTTATATGACCTCTATTTTTTAAGATATTTACGGAAATATCTACAAAATTATTGGTTTCAATAATTTTTTACTCGAATTCTATCAACTTTACCGAAAAATATCGAAAGATAAAAATTGTTTATTTTTTTATCGTAGAGGTCTGAGAATTTTCTCAGAAATTTTTAATTAACTTTTTAGTATTTCAAGAAAATGCAAGAAAATGCAGTACTAAGAAGTTAATTAAAAATTCTGAAAAATTTTTTAGATCTATATGAGAAGAAAATAGAAAATTTTTATCTCTTGCTATTTTCGGTAAAGTTGATAGAATTCAATAAAAAATTATTGAAACCAATAATTTTGACATTAACCTAAGGACAATTAGAGTTCACGCACAGTGAACTGTAATTGTTGGTTATATAGTGCTATTATAAACTATTAAAACATAGTGACACAATCTCGCCATGAGAACAAATTTTAATAAATATCATACGCGTTTCGGTCTCACTTCACAGACCCTCTTCAGTGATTACAAATAATGTTAGTGTCGCAAAAAATAAAAAATCGTAAAAGTTAGCGTTAACATTGGTTGTTACAGAATTGTCGCTACAAATTTTTTTGTCTACGGGATTCGGAAGCACAAACATAATATATCATTAACACAATGAAATGTTTCATTTTCGGAAACTACCGGCAATTTATTCCGAGACTGGTCACTCCATCGCACGTACTAAGATGCTGTGGTATGATCATC